GTAGAGCGTTCATTTCAGTTTTCTAAGATTAAGTGGTCCGTTTTTCTTAAAATGCCTTCCTAATTCACACAGAGGGGGTGCAGACTTCAGTTCTCCAAGATTAGGTTGTCCCAAAATTGTTTTCGAATTCAAAGAGAGATAGGGTAGAGCGTTCATTTCAGTTTTTCCAACATTAGGTTGCTCGCTTTTCAAAAAATGGCTACCCATTTCAAAGAGAGGTGGTGTATAGCTTTCATTTCAGTTCTCCAAGATTAGGTTGTCCGCTTTTCCCAAAATGGCTTCCGAATTCAAAGAAAGATCGCGTAATTTTCTGTTTTCCAAGATGGGGGGGTGCCATGATGGAATAACACGAGAGAAAAAAAAGGCCATCTTGTCATTCTCTGATAGGGTACCGGTGATCGAATACTTTTGTGACCGACTGTACCTCCATTTTAGTAATGTTCGAGTATCGCGTAGTAGCTTCTCAGTTTTGATGAATGGTTGTGTTAATAAAGTTGATTGTTTTAGGGTCGTAGATTCCTGGCTTGTAGAAACTAATACCAAGTCCCTCCATAACATTTACACCGCCAAATGATGCATGCAAACGGCTTAGAACTCAAAGAGTAAGTCAATTTCTGTTATTTAAAAATACACGATTAATTTTTGCTGTTTAAAAAATATGCAGTTTTAAGATTAACAAATAGCATTCTTAAACAGAGAACTAGCCCATTGAATTCTGATATAAAAATATTTAAAAAAAATATTATTTAAACCAAAATTATGTCATTATGAAACAATGAAAAAGTAAAGTTTCCAGATTAGAGTCGTCATCTAACAAAGAAATCGCCAAATTCGGCATGCGCTTTATTCTTCACTTTAACGCATAGTTATAGGTTAGGTTAGGTTATTTAATTACGGCAAAGCCTCGAAGGCAGGAATGCCTTCGTGGAGGACTTTCTAAGGGAAACTGGCTCGTATACATGTTACACATGGGGAAAACCACGAAAACACTCATGCAGCCAGCCCGTTCACGGGATTTGAACCTCGGACCGAACTACCAGCGTTCAGCGATTTTACCGCTCGGCCGCTGGTGGGCCCCATAGTATAGAATTTATATGAATGGCAAGTATATAGAACGAAAACTTATCATGTCATTATATTTACCTTTTGTTAAAGATCTGAAATTGCATAGTGATAAGCTAGTAGCTTTGCTGTTGCCGAAACTTTTAGACCTTTCTTAGTTTCCAAAAAAATCAACAACTTAAAAGTTATGCATTTTCTTTTCACAGAGTTCTAACGGAAAATTTTATAATTTTCAGACGTAATTCCAGCGTAATCTTCAGCCAATTACATAATTTACTCCTTTACTTTCACCGAATTTCTCTCTCTTTAAATGCCTTATTAGTATGTTTTAGTGTCAATTAATAAGATATCTTCTAGAACTTTGTTTTCTGTTCAGTAATCTTAACTGAAAATAGACAGGCACGGCTTTATTGTTAACTTATTTGAATAAACGCCTTGCAGGTTGATATGATTACATTATAATAGTGTGGAGATTCGTTTATTTTGACTAATATTTAACGTTTAGTTACAGCAGCTTTCCTTTCATTATTATTTATCGCCCACGCTTTCCTGCCAGAATACTAATCAGATAGCGCGCGTTTATTCATGTCAAGATAGAAAGAAGTGCTCGCTTTACGGGCCCGCTACCTTTTAAAATTCACCAAAAAATAAAGGATACATAAAAATTATCAGAATTTCTAACAAAATGACTATTTTGAACAATATTGATTTAAACTAAATTCTTACTCGCCACGGGAGATTTCCCTATTATTTTAAGAGTTTCATTCAACTTACAAAATAATGAGCTTCGCATTTCTAGTAATGCCATTGTAGACGCGAAACATTTTGTGAAGGACTGTCCTATTTTCACCGATCAGAGGAAGCTTTACAAAATTGATAATACTATATATAATGATAATTTTGATATCAAAGCTTTTATATCTTTTGCACAAGATGTCCTTAAATTTATGAATGCAAATCGTGGTGTAAATGGAATCCTGATTTGATGTTGTCCTTTAGTGTTAATTTTTGTTTGTATGTTCGTGAGTGTTTGTTATATGTTTTCCCTACTTTTATTTTATATTTGAGTATTATTTGTAACATATTTATATTTTGTATTATGTATTACGTATTTATTTTGTATCTGATGTGCTTTTTGGGGGGTCAATCTTTTTTTTCTTTTTTGTTTTGACCATGAAGCCACTTCGTGGCCAGGAGGGTCTGAGTGTACCTCTGTGGGTGTGCTCTAAGCGGGCACACTGAATGAACAGAGCTTTGAAAACAGTGCTGAAAGGAGCATTGTTAGGTGTAAAAGGGTAAGAGATTTTGCCTACGATTACAATACACTAGTTTCTGAATACCGTAGCAGATTTACGGGGAGCACGGTGAGGCCTGCTACTCTACACCCCCTAATAAAGTTCTTCTTGGTTATATGATGATTACATGCGTATAAATGAAAAAAAAAGTAACATGGTAGTAACATAATAGTTACATTATTTTCATTTGATATTTACATTTTTTTTGTTTTGTTTTTGTTTTGTTTATGGTTGAGTATTTTTCGAAGAAAATGACACCACCTTTGAAAAAGGACAACCCAACAGTGCATGTTTTCACATGTACCGGGATATGTATCAGATTCACTATCTGATGGTAATTCGTGTAGCACATCCAGTGCTTCAGAAATGGTCAGCGCTCTCCAAATGAGAACTGCTCTAGTAAAAAGCTAAACCGCTAACTGATAAAATTACCGTTGACCTTCAGAAAATCGCCCCAACAATTTCTCAGTTCATAACCAAACCTCCCCTCCCCCCCCCCAAAAAAAGGGAAAGAGAAAGGGCAAAGCAGCAAAAGTAAAACAGGAAATTACACACAGATGTGGACCCACCTTTCTATTGTAAATGAGCTGCAGAGAAACAAAGATACAGTTGTTGGTCTTGTTCTGGTCTTTCAGTGATCCCACTCTGGGCACACCCGATGTTCGCCGTTTGATTCTAGGCAAGATTTCAAAGTAAAAATTTAAAACTAATATAGAACAAGGAGGTTAGAGTGATTTTAGAGCGTGTTATGCTTTTTTTGAAGACCACGTTGCTATTTTGAGCTACTAGCGATTTAATTCTATGAGTCAGAGCCGTCCTTCTCGTTTAAATTATCTTGCGAGCTGTTAGGGTAGTTAAATTACATTTTATGTTAAGTTGAACATTTCCTGATCGAGTTAAGCTAGAAGCCTTGGCTTATGGAAGCCCAACTGTTCAACTATATATGATTAAATAAAGGGTTCTTTACACCCTTCTTCTAACTTTGTCTGTGAATGTCAAGACGTCTTATATATCCTCGTACACTTCTTTGAACGCTCGCTAGTTTATGCTTCCAAATAAATAAAATAAACCTAGACTCTGCAATAGTAAAAGACATTTTCTGGAGTATTTTCTATGAAGAACCCATAATAGCTTTTCTCTGTTTCAAAACGATTATACTCTCTCCATCTAAAAAACAGTATTTCCACTAAAGTAAGGAATATAAAACAGCAATAAACCTCATTTTGTTACCGCAAGGTATCCAGACTTTAGTGACTATATTTGAATTACATAGCCCGACTTATCTTTTTATTCTTATCTGCGCTCAGTGTCTGTAAAAGTTTGCTATTGTTTCAAATAATAGGTGGTAGTTGCATAACTTTTTACATAACAATTTCCTTTGAATTAATAGATAGGATTCTTTCATTAGAAACCAAATTTCGTGCTTTTTGAGAAAGCCCGAAATTTCACAAACTGAACTTCTAAAGCCTTCCTTCCATTACAGTACTTAACAAATTTGTTTAAAAATTTAATACTTCTGTTTAACTTAAAAATTAAGATATTTTAATTTTGTTCGTCCCACCTTCACACAGACTCCCAAACACAATGTGTAGTAAATCTAAGGTTAGGTTTCACAATGCAGCCAAAATTAATCAGTTTGTCAACACTTTCAAAACAAAACAAGTTTCAAAATTAATTTTAAGAAAATCACTGAGAAAGATTAAAGAGAAAACCACTGAGAAAAATCTTACATATGAATTAAATATTAATATTCTTGAAATGTTTTCTATCCATAATTATCTTCTCATTTTATTAAATAAATCAAAATGCTCTTGTCATCATCTATCAGTTTAAATTTAGAAATTTTAAAATTTATACAACAGCACTTATTTATGTTATCATCAAATAAAATGAACTTTTTGAATAAAAGTTTTATAATTTCAAGGTGGGTAAAGTTATAATTGTTTATAAGAAAAATTACTTTTATATTTTCAGTATTAAATAAGTGAAGAAATGTATGCGTGTAAGCTTGTATAAGCGAAGAAATTAGGGTATCAAGGCTCATATCATAAAAGCACATACTGCAGTTAAATAAATTTTTAAATGAATGACCAATAAAAATGTAATTTAACTCATATGTAATTTATTAAATTACCGTACTGCAAAAATCTGAAGTTAGTATTCACTCTAGTTCTTAGTAATGAATTTCACTACACACCATTACTTGATTATGTTATTCATAAATATTTATGGAGTTAAAAAGCTAATAAAAAGCAACAAATTATCAAATTAAGAAAAGCAAACAAGACTTTTAAATCTTTTAAAATCTTTAAAAGTAATCCTGAAAACTTATACGAATTGCACTGGTTCTTGTTTGTTTCAGTATCTGCATCATTTATTCATCGGCGTGTTAATTCAGTTAGCAATAAGTCTAACGGCCTTTCTACTGTTTTCAAAATAAACGGATTTGTTTCAAAATGTTTGTTCAAAATCAATAGACTTCTTTGTCATTGTCATAAACTTAGAATATATACATTCCTTTGTTATGACTTATTTGTGCTGCTATAAACGTAAAACAACTTTTATGGAAATGAGCAAGAAATGTTTCAATGCAAAAAATGAATTAAATGAACCACTATTTTGACGTAAAAAAATGGACACTTGTTATTTTCCTAACTGTTTTATTAAATTTTTGAGCTACCAAATTTACATATAATTAGAAATGATGCAGCATGTCCGATTTTATGAACATTCTTTGTATGCATATACCAATAAACCAGACTACATATTTCTATTACAATTTAAATTTTAGGCGTTCTACAAGTAATGGAGGTAATCTGAGTTTAATAGCATCTTTTTCGACATTTCTGATGTTTTTTCTTATAGTCATATAACACAGATTTTCTAATGAAAGACATTGCTTTGAAATATCAATAACATAATTGTATAGTTTTTTCTTTTCCTCTTTTAACATTTTGTAACTTCTCCAATGTTCGAAGGCAGTTTCCCAGTCCTGTCCCCGTAAACTAGCACCTGCAATTATGAGTAAATTCACTAGTCTCCTGTATCCGTATTCACATGCATAGCGCAATGGAGTAAAGCCTTCTCTGTCACGTTTGTCGATTTCGATGTTATTTCCCGAAATAAGAAATTTTCGAACAAGTATTTCGTGGTTTTTCCTAACTGCAATGTGCAGAGCAGTCCGACCTTCGTAGTCAACAGCATTGAGGTCGCATCCACGGTGTATCAGCAGGGTACACAAATCTAGAAATGGGGAATTTGCTGCAGCTTCCCCTTCCGTGATAGCCCTTTTAACAGCAGTTACCAGTAACTGGTGGTGAATCTGAGGAAGAAAGTGAACATTAGAATTTCGTACAAATTAAAATATTTGAATAACAAGAATGAAAATACGACACTAAGTTTATGATGAAAAATTTAAAGTCACAAAAAAGGGTTACCGTTAACATGTAAGTATCTTCTTTTATCTCCTTTATATGCTTTAGCATGCTTTCTCGCAAATTAGAGTTGTTTTGTGTATATTCAGGATAAGATCTCGAAGTAGTTATTTTGCAAACCCCTTATTGCTTTCATTTCGTATTTTTCACGTCCAGGCAGAAAAGACGTATTACCAAATGATTTAAGTATTTCCCTCAAACTCAGGTTGAAACGATTCAGGAAAAGAAGTGCACAATAGTTTAGTTCACAATCCTAGAAATTTTGAAGTTAATGATTCCGTTAAATGTTGTAATCTGTCAAGTTAATGATTCCGTTAAATGTTGTAATCATGATCACTTGATATAATTTGTCAAAATTTTACGTAAAATATCTCTCCGAGATGGTTTATGTTATGTTCCAAAATGTTATTCCTAACTTTAGTTTGGAAATTGCATTAGTTCCTCTACAAAATTAAATAATTTATCTAATGTAATTTAAAATAATTAAGAATATTGATATGAAATACATATGACCATGCTCACATTTTCAAACTGCTTTGTTAGCAAAGCAGAAGGTATTTATAGATATATATCTTTTAATTCATTAAAATTATTTTACTTTTCAGTATATCAGTTCATAAAGTTACCTATCTGTTTGAGTTCTCAACAAATTTTAAATAATTGCTGGTTAAGCTAGCTTTTCCTGGGAGGGCGGGTTACTTTCTGGGAACTACTATGTCTACATTTTCCTTTGCTAACAACTGAAAATTTTCAGTATAGACATAGGCAATGGCTTTATGAGAAACTGATAAAAAGAATAGAATGGATTGTAAAATGTACAGAATTTTAATAAGCTATCCCGCTAAGCAATCAATTATCCCTTATATCTTTACCAATAGTTCTAAGAAAGATTTTTGACTAAAATTTTTCTATGCGGTGTCGTGTCATGAGAATAAATAATATTTCATCCTGTTCAGTATCTAAGCTCTCACTGCGCAAGAGTGTTCTTTACTCTGTCTAAATATCACTCACATAATTCAATAAACTTTAAATAATGGTTCCATATAAGAAAGTTAAAGCTAATTTTATCAGTTTTGTCAATACTGAGTATGCATGTTTTTCATCTTCTTTCAGTCTAAATACTTCGTCCGAAATTTTACAATATCAGTTCTTTTTATTTTCTGTATAAGAAAAACAGCAAAATAACGTTTTTGTATAAGGCAAATTTAGTTTCCTTCAACAAGATGTTCAACCTCTTAAATTTTACACACTCTGAACGTTTTTGAATCTGAATGATTGCCCCTTTAGTTGCATTTTGCATTCTGTTGTGTTTAACATTCTGAGTAGTTTGAAGTGTAACTATAGATAGTGCATAACTGTGAAGACCTGTACTGCTATTTTTGTTGAAAGCTCCAGAACTGTCAGGCGTTCCTTTTGGTAAAATTAATTTAATCGAGGTGTGTGTGCATACTGTTTATTACGAACCCATAAACACAAAACCGTATGAGAAAAATATATGTAGAGTTCATCGTTATTAAATGAAAACTTTTGATTTCTAACTAAATTAGTTAACTCTTGAAGAGTCTCAGAAAAAAAAAAAAAAAAAAAAAAACCCTACAAGTTTATAAATTTCTCCCTTAATTTCATTGCATATTATTTTCAATAAAATGTATAAAGAATTAAAATTTAAAAATAAAATAAAAACTTAAAATTACCTAATTTAAGAATCATTTTTGAAATATATGTAAGGAACAAGAATTCATTCCGTAATTCCTTGCCTATTCCAAAACATTATCTCCAAAAAAAAAATAGATTCGTCCAGTAGTAGTTTACGTAGAATTCCGTTAGGAAGTAAAAGTATTCTTTGCCCTGTAGGGTGTTGTATAACAAGTTTAAAAAGACAAGTCTGAAAGCTATAATTTAATTAACATACCTGCGCTGAAACACCCTGTATTTATTATTTAAAAATATTGATTTGATTTCGTTACTTACTTTCGCACCAGCCTCTAAAAGCATAGATGCAATTGGAGTCACATATTCTGCCTTATTGTAGGATACAGCATTCATTAGAGGTCCATCTCGAAAGGAGTTGTTTGAAACCACACTACTGCCTTGTAACAAGAGGAATTGAAGAACTTCTGGACTGTGTCTTCTACAAGCATAGTCGAACGGAGTACAGCCACCATAACCAACAAGATTAAGAAACTTTGCCGGCGATTTTTCAGTTAATAACTTTATAATTGCTGAAAAATAATACATACGTCAACATACAATAAATCAACAATATAAAAATAGTTTAAGCATACAATGAATCAAGAACAAGAAAATGAATATCGATTTTAGTTACTGTTTAGTATTTTTTTGTTACCAAACGAATTACCAGTGTGTCTTTGCAACAATAGATGGCGTTGCTGCCTGATGTTTCAATTCTGGTTGCTATGAGCTATGGTTGCTAACGAACTTTCAACTCATAATTTATGTGATTTGTATTCTATTCTTTTTTTGTTTTATTAATTGCTACTTTGCTTGGAGTGATGTGAGCTGTGTCGTCACGTGGACGGCATTCCTTCTGTTTCAAAGTGTTATGTAAAATAAACTAGTGATATTACAGTCCGCTGACCTTTTTTTGTGAATTTATTCATAACATTTCTGGTCCGTCGAGCCGGAGAGAAGAGTTAGCGATCTTTGGATATGATGCGATTTATTCAAATATTAGCAAGTTAAATCACTTTCGATTTGTGGATTAATAAACAGCTCAGTGTAATTTGTGGAATATTCCCGTGGCATGGTGTAGCATAGAAACCTCAACATTGGGGTGAGTACGTTCCAATATTACATCTTCTTTTGCTAGAGTTGTTAGTATAATATTTATTGTTATTCATAATGGCTGATTTGAAACCAGTTTTAACTAAAAAGAAGGTTCTGAAAAGCAATATAAAAACGTTTAAAGCCAAGGTAAATTCGAATTTAACAAGCAGAAATTTTAGAGGTAAAGTTGTTCGAAACGAAACTAAATGCTTTTAACAGTGAGCTTCGTTCACTGTTAAAAGTGAATATGAGGAAATATTTTTGTTGTGTCCCTGAAAAAGATTGTGATACATTCATTACGGAACAACAAACAATACAAGAAACTTTAGATGAATTATGGATAACTATAAATAAAAAGTTACAGAAACTTTCCAGTGACTCTGTTATCGAAACAAGTAGTGTAGCAAAAGTAAATTCGTCTGGAGTTCGATTACCAAAATTAGAACTTTCTACCTTTATAGGGGAAAATATAGATGAGTGTATTAGTTTCTATGATCTTTTAAGGCTAGTGTAGATAACAATCTGAATATTTCTAATTGTCAGAAGTTTCAATATTTAAAGGCTTCTTGTAAAAAAAAGGCTCTGTCTATTATTCAATTCCTATTTCTGATGCTAATTATATATATGGCGTTGCAACTTTTACAGGAATGTTATTCTAATTAAAAGAGAATTAACTAATGCATTAATCCGTAAAATGTTAATTTGCCAAATGTTTCTGATTCAGCTCAAGCTATTTTACATTGTGTTGATGTAGTGAATGAATACACTCTTTGAAAACTCTTAAGCTAGAAGTTTCTGATCTTTTTCTGATGTTCTTTTTGTTTATCTGATAACTGCGAAATTAGATAAAAACATAAATTTTTGTGGTGGAAAAGAACTTTGAAAAAAAGATGAATGAATTAGGTACTTTAGATAATTTACTCGAGTTTCTAAAAGACCACGCTAGAACCCTTCAGAATAGTAGAAACCATCTAAAGATTTTAGGAAATTTTCTAATTCGAAAGTAACTTCTTTAGTGTCGAGTAAAAACAGTTGTATAATGTGCAAGGAAGATCATTCTCTCACACAAATGTGTTAAAGTTTTAAACTTAAGTGTCCAAAAAAGAATCGAATTTGTTAAGAAACAGAAACACAAACTTTGTTTTAATTGTTTTATCTTCTCAGCCTCATTTAGTGAAAAACTGTCGTAGTTTACATAAATGTATGACGTGTAAGTTACCTCATCACACTGTTCTTCATTTTGATCGAAATATCAAAACTAGTGAAAATGAGAAACCAAAACAAACTTCCTCACTCTCCCCCAGAGCCGAAGTGTTCGTACCAAAGAATGAAGTCGTTACAAATGCCACAACATGTATGTACAGGACAATTTAGTTATTTTAAAGGTGAATCAAAACGTGTATTACTGTGTACGGCTCTCATTAAAGTTAGTGATTCCAATGGTAAAGCCATCTCTTGCAGGGCTTTACTAGACTGTGGCAGTGAAGCCAACTTTATAAGTGAAGAGTGTGTCAGAAAACTAAAGTTAGGTAGATTTAACAAAAAAATTGAAGTATCGTGCCTTGGTTCGTTCAATACTGTAACAGTGGAGAAGTGGAATTAATTTTTACTTGCACTTTGAGTCAAATTCCAAATTTCGAACATATGCATTCGTGATTCCAAAGATAACTTCAGATGTGCCTAACGTGTCGCTTCCTTCTAAATTTGCGAATCATTTTGACGATCTAATTTTAGCTGATTCTAAGTTCTATGAAAGAAAACCTATAAATATTTTATTAGGTGTACATGTATTTTTTACTATAAGGCTTAAGGGAGACATCATAAAGAGAGGAGAATCAATGCCCTTTGCAATTAGTTCTCAGTTGGTTTGGATCATTTCCGGGAACACTATTACTGATGATGATTCGAATCTAACACTTTTACAGTGAATAATCTTCAGCTTGAATACAAAACGAATTAGTTGAAAGATTTTGGTCTTTATACTCCATTCCTGAAGTCAAACGTATTTCGAAGTGAAGATAAAAAATGTGAAGAGTTCTTTAAAACAACACACTTCCGTGATCAAAATGGTTGTTATGTAGTGAAACTTCCATTTAAAGATAACCCTTCAAGGTTGGGTAATTCTAAAGATCTTGCTTACAAAGATTTAAATCTTTAGAGAGAAAAATCTCTTAAGATCTCCCTGATACATAGATATGTATAAACATTTCATGAAGGAATACTTGGATCTCAGGCACATGGAACCAGTCCGTAGTTTAGAGTCCCCAAGTCAGGCATACTACATGCCACATCATGCAGTAATTAAGGAATCTAGCTTAACGAGTAAAATATGTGTGGTATTTAATGCTACTAGTAAGTCTTCATCAGGACTATCTCTTAACGACATATTGATGACAAGTCCCAAGAATAGATGGCGTTGCTGCCTGATGTTTCAATTCTGGTTGCTATGGTAACGAACTTTCAACTCATAATTTATGTGATTTGTATTCTATTCTTTTTGTTTTATTAATTGCTACTGTGCTTGGAGTGATGTGAGCTGTGTCGTCACGTGGACGGAATTCCTTCTATTTCAAAGTGTTATGTAAAATAAACTAGTGATATTATAGTCCGCTGACCTTTTTTTGTGAACTTATTCATAACAGTTACACGCGGGAACTGGCAAAAGAGAAGTAATCAGAATTTTTTTTTTTTTTTTTTTTTTTGGTTTGTGTAATTAACATTATCTATTGAGGGAATTCTGTAACAGAACCTATGCGTTATAAGTTCAAGTAGAAACTACTTGCATAATATTTTTAAGGAGAAAAACCAAGTGAATAGAAGCATTTGCGTTTTACTCCGATCTTTATGAACTTTTCTACGCTTTAATTTCAAAGGAAAAGGATGAATCTACGTAAAATTTAAAAAAACCACACCAGGGATTTCACACTCTTTATACAATTTATGCAAATTTAATGAACTCTTAGTTAAAAAACTCAGCAATTTAAAAACTTTGTATTGCCACTCTGAAAAGAGTAAGGAATTTATATTTCAAATTTAATAAAAACTTGAAGTTAAAAGGTGTGTGTTTCCACTCGAGAAAAGCAATGAATTTGACTTGCGTATTTTATAAACAAATCGAGGGATTTCAGAGAAATATGTTGCATCAGTGTACTGTCATTCCTCAAATCTTAAAATATTTAAATTTGCTATATAAATTTATTCTGCTATTGATTAACAAACTAAAAGATTAATGGAGGAATCAAACAAGAAGAATGCCAAAATGCAAATTTCTTTGAACTTTGGCAGCTGAAGAAGTTGGGTGTATGGTTAAACCATCGAAACCACTCCTGCAACATTTACAAATAAAAAACAGAGGCTATTCGCACATATTTTATACCATTTTCAGTCTAATTTCAGAAATATTTTACCTAAAATTTGTGTGTTTTGAATGTTCATTTGATGAACTTTATTCTTCACTATCTTTCTACGCCGTAATTTCAAAAGCAATGAAGCTTTTTTTAGTAGCAGAAGAGTTATTTTACCATACATATCTTAAAACAGCTTTCCAAAGCCCAAGGAGGGTTATAGGTCGGGATCTGCCAGTCCAAAAGCACACAAATTCGCACATAATACATCAGAAGATTCCGTAAAAATATGTATGAAGGGTCTGACTTTGTTACCCGCTTCTTGTTTTTTTTTTTTTTTTTTTAGGAAATTATTAGTTCATTTTGACATGCGCTTTGTCCGACTGATTAATGGCACTGTAGCGAATAGTTTATCCAACAGATGGCAGTATCTGCCAAGCTCCTTTGGTAATTGTCAATGCGCATGCGCAAGCGGAGTGAAAAAAGAAGTAGGTTATTAGGAGAAGGAGCTTTCGTTAATAATGTTGCTGCGCGTTTTCGCTGTGTAAATAAAAGTATATTTTTATATCATAGATGTTCTTTACTCTCTAATGCGAAGCACTAGGTTAGTGCACGAATCTCTTCTGATTCAGAAACCATTTTCAAACCGTGGATCACCACAATAAAAAGTGGCGTCCGCGACAGAATGCATTAGTTGGGTAAAGGACATCCATCATCCGTCACGTCGACCGGATTGCAGCTGTCAATCAAAGTGAATTCACTTGCTGATTGGAGAAACGCATACTCACCGCATACGCAATAGTGGAAACGGGCCTTAATGCTAACCAATAAATTTATAACTGTTTCTTTCAAAAATAAAAATTAAAATTTTACACAACTTCAATTTTGAAATTACGTCAAAAATGGCACGTTCCAGCTATCACTTCTTACTAAAACCGTTACACGGACTTGTGATTTTTTTGAACAATTTAGAAACTGTCTAGAACAGTGTAGAACCTTAAGAAAAAATTTAAGTGTGTTCTTAACCAGTTTCATGCGAATATTTCGAAAATGCTGAATAAATCCACCAAAGTGGATAGTGATTTTCTCAAAGCTCATTTCGGAAAAAAAGATGTAAACGATAACAAAGCAAGTACCAGTACTTACTAAAGCCTTTACATAGCGCAGTGTTCGTTATATACCGTACTAAAGTTTTATTCAAGCTCCGTAAAATATTGCACAATTGCATATTCTCAAAATAAGAGGAAAATTACTGTCTATCTGAGGGCGAATAATTGTTTTACAATGTGTGAAAATTTGAAAGGACATGCATGGAAATGTAAAGGACAACTAAAAAGTGAACCAAAATGCCGCTTAAACTAAAACGTCTAAAAAGTTGAATAACACCATATTCTTGCACAGATGTGTGACAAGCGGGATTTCATATGACCGCATTCGCAAAAAAAAGCGTGATTAAACATAAAAATCTTCCAACCCATAATTACTTCCTCCATTTCTATAATTATTTCTTAGTTCACCTTCAGGTTGCAGTTACCCTCTTTAAATTTCTTCAGCGCACGCTGGAAAAAATGGCTGCTTGCATGTTTACAGATGAAATTATCTGGATTTTACCAGAGGAATGGGGTTATGTACTGAAGAGGGAGGGCGCCATCGTCCAAAACATTGTAAGGGAAACTTGCAGTACTCGAGTTACACTTCGAAGAAAATCACGAACCGAATCCGTTCACCATGATTTAAATGCTGGTCGAGCAATAAAATTTAATGAGCGTACTGCTCCCAGGTTGTGGTATGTTTTGTCTATGTATCTGAGGAGTAAATGTGTTAAAGTTATTAAATTACATTCTTTCCTGATTAAGAAGATGCTTCCTTTGCAAATGAATCTTCTTTAAGATAGAGTCAAAATGACCTTCTGGTGCACTTTTCCAAAAAACTGTACATTTCTATGTCTTGCAAGTTTTTTCTAACAAAATATGTTGATGGGAGATATAATCTGATCATACTGTGAAAAATACAAACTAGATAAGAAGATTCATGTATTATGAAAATACAAGAGGATGAGGTAGAAAAACAGGATTATCTTAAAAAAAGTCAGTGAAAATTTTCTGATAATGCAACCAAACAATTAATGAAGGAAATTGCATATTCAACTATAAAGGTATAATAGACAGGGAACATTCTTATTATTTGAAAAAAAAATAATATCCATTTTTCTGTCCTTTATATTTTATTCCAAAAACTTTAAGACTTTTGTGTATTTTTTCATACCTAAAAATGCGTAAAAAACATATTTTCTTAAAAAAAACTTGACATAAAACATAGTCGTTCAGGTTTTTGGAAAGGTGCGCCAGTAAGGTTATTTTGACTGTTATTATAACTCGTTTATTTCTGTGTTTGTTTGTTTTTTTCTGTTGTTGTTTTGTTTTGTTTGGTTATTTATTATAAAAGATAAACATAATTGAAAGAATAATAACGTATCCAAAATAATTTTAACGTTACCTGAAGATTCTTTTTGACAAGCGACATGCAGAGCTGTTTCTCTATGTATATCTATCCTGGTAACATCAGCTCCCTTTTCTAGAAGCAATCTAATTAACTCGTAATTTGAATTATTGACTGCTAGAAAAAAAAGAATAAATATCATTATAATTTTAATTTCAGTTATAAGGATATAATAAGTTTTCTGAAAATAAAAATTGCTTAAAGAGATTTCTTCTAGGAACTACCTAAATATGAATTCGTATATGATTTATTAAAAAATTTGAATGAAATTATCCAAGTCAATTGTTTAACAATATCTGAAATCTCTATATAGATCTTCAATATTTTATTAAAAATTCTGATGCGTACACCACACGAGTTTCTTCTAGAGAATATTAAATTAAATGCACGTTTTGCCACAGCATGAAAACCTCAAAATATCTTCATTAAAACTTGAAAAATATATTAAAAAATAAAACACCAAATACACTTAAAGTTAAAAATAATAACAAAAAAAATTGACAATTAAAATTAGAGTTTCTACGCAAAAACAAGCAATTCGGCTCTTAGGCAACAAGGAAAATTTTTCGATGTACAGAAATGAACGTCTAATTTTGGTCCAAATTGGCAAAAAGACATTGAAGGTAATCGAAATTCAACTTGTGTTTTTCATGCTCGAAAACGCGATTTAGGAGATGTATTAGATTTATATAGAACATTGTTCTAATATAGGTTATTGACACAAAATCGGACTTTTTCTGAAATGACATGTCAACTGTTTTCCATATTTCAGTTCGGCTCAAATATAGCCAAACTACCAAGTATTGTAAAAATCGCAAGAGTAGTTTTTAAAAAATTTAGCTCTTCAATGTTAATTGAGTTTGGTATATATTTATTAATCTCCCTATTTATATTAAACTTATTTCATTCTTCCTTTCACATTTCGAAATTCAGATTCATTCCAAATAAAATTCACCCAATTTTATGATTTATTTTAAAAATTTGTATTTTTAAATAATTTTTACAAATTTTTTCAAACACATTTTGGAATATAATCCATAAAACTTTTGGCCATTATCTTAAAGTAGATGTATTTCTAAGCATAAATACAAAAAACTGCAGTTTTTTATTCAAAATTTCTGAAGATGTACGTGAATTTATATATTGGTGCGTTTTCAAATTTGGCATATTTGTTAAAAGCGATAAAACATCAAACGTAGTTTAAGCACTTTGTTACAATTATTTCCCTCCTAAAAATGCCCCATAGAAACCAGTAAAACTTTTTATGAGTACCCATAAGATCTTATGGGTTTCTATTGACTTTTACTGGTTTCTGTTGGTCTCTGTGAGGTTTTCTTACTGGTTTCAAAATGCCCTATAGAAACCAGTAAAATTTTCTGCTGGTACCTACAATAAAATTATACAACAAAACTAACAAACAAAAAATATATAAGCATATTCAAAATAATTTTAATATTACCTGAATGTTTCGCTCTTTCACAAGCGAAATGCAGAGCTGTTTTCCCATGCGTGCCTTTCCTGTTAACATCAGCTCCCTTATCTAGAAGTAATCCAGTTAACTCATAATCTGATTTACAGACCGCTAGGGGAAGAAAATTATGTATCATTGTAAGTAAATTCGAATTATAAAGATACGAAACGTTTTCTGAAAATAAAAATTGCGTAAAGAGATTTCTTCTAGGAAGCACGTAAATATGAATTCGTGTATGATTTATTAAAAAGATTTTAAGGAAGTTCTTATCAAAGTGCAGTGTTGCAGATCTTCTATATAAATATTTTATTAAAAAAATCTTATGTATACACCACGTGACTTCCTTGTACAGAATATTCAATTATATGCATTTTTTCCTGCATTTCATTTAAACTTAATGAATTCTACTTCGAGGAAATAAGTGTTTCATATTAGCAGAAAATACCATTCATATTAGCCAGTCTGTTTCCGAGAGAGAGGAACGTTAACACATAGCGCATGCGCATTAGGTAAGCAGCGCTGAATCGGCTGTGAAAAACTTTATTTTTTATTTGTTTAATTTCTTTTATACATCGTTTTGGATTTATTATAGTATTTGAATAGAACATGTATCATTTTTGTTGTTTGTTGTTGCTGTTGTTTATTATAAAAGTTAAATTTTAATAAAAGAAACTTTCCTTTGAAAGCTATAATATTATTAGCACAAATAAAATCTTTGGACTGAAACTATAACAAATACAGGAGAAAAGCTCTTTTTTCCCCACACATAGAAATGGAAACAACTCAAGATACAGAATTCAGAATTTTTTAGCCACCACTACTGTTCCCTTAATACAGAGTTAACTAATGGAATGTTTTTATAGCAGCTCCAACTGCTCGGTTCATTATGCTCAGAAATAATGAACTAGGATAAAATAAAATCTAGATATCATTAAAACGAAATTAATTACATTACAGTGACATATCTTTTTTTGATAAATACGGAAATGCTCTTCTGCATACAAAAAAGAAATTACATTATATATTATAAAGAATTATACAGAAAATTATTACAAAACGAAAGTTACCTCATGTATAAATAACAAGAAGAATGAATATGGAAAATATATTTCACTTAATATTAAAAATTTTTAACCAAACATATGTTCGAAATTAAGGCTTAATGGAGCAGAAATTTAAAAATATAGTTTTTGAAAATAATTTTTAAATTATTTATATTTATTAGAAGGATATAAAATTACTTTCATAAATGAATGCATAATTAAATCTATTGAGTAGTTAATTTCATTTTTTCCGAGATATTGAAATAAACTTGAACTTAAAGAAATTTCAAACGGTTATTTGCGCATCAGTCGTGAAATACAGATGTGTATAATTATGTTATTACGCAAGTTTATGGGAAGATTGTTCACTAAGTAAAGGTTCAAACATACAAACCACACGGCATAGCAATAAACACATAGTTTAACCCATGACATGAACATTAATTTTACCATAACTACAAAAAACATTGATAATTGTTCAGAAAATAAAAATTAGATGAAATTTAAACCAAAAAAAAAAAAAAAATTAGATGCCCTATGCAGAGAAGTTGATAAAACACAAGATATAATAACAAGATTAAGATTTAATAGAGTAACAGATACTCATTGCTCCACTGCAGACTGGCCTTACAGACTACCCTAGAGATTGGGCAGGTAAAACTGACCGCACAAATATCAGATCATTTTCCCAATTTCCAATTTTTCTCCTAATATCCGCAAATAGTTTCCGAGCATCTTCTTGTTTCCCAATTGCCTTATTCATGTCTTTTCTCAATACCTTACCAGCAAATAGCTTTAGAATATCTTCCCTGTTTTCAAATGCCCTAATATGTCTTTCATCAGCGCCTTTTAAGAATTTTCTCTAACAGTGGGCAAAAGCATGACCTTTTGAAAACTATGCCTCGACCTACTTGAAAAATGCACCTCATAGGCCAGGCTTAAAATCAAGGTGAAAAATCCAAGGAACTCTCTTTTCTCAATGTAAACACATAATATTTTTGCTGATAACATTTAATTCATTCTTATTGATAATAATTTTAAAAGGCAGGATAAACAGCTCGCTGGTGTTTGACACTGTTAAAAATACTCAAGTAGGATAAACTGTAAAACAGCCATCCCAAAAATTTCAGTCCAGAATGAGCAATTGTTCCTTATTACTTACCAATCTCCGTAGCAAGCCACGTGGTTTGACTTAAAATGGAAAATATGAATTCGCACTCCGAATTGCAGTTGCGGAAAACGGGCAGAAACATCACATGTTTAAAATTAAGGAGGTCTTGCTATCACTTGTAGTAACTCTTGCAAAGCTGTGCATCTGTAATATTTGTATAATTAAGCGAAATTGTTTCGGCATGTTTTTACAGGCGAAATAGCCTTCACTTGCAGGCATTCGCTAAAAGGGTGTTGAAATATCAAACATTTTCAAACGTATTCATACTGCCTGCTTTTTTCTCGTTATTCTGTATTTTCTTATAATTAATTTATAATTAAATACATTAAGGGCAAACTGGAAATAAAAATAAACAAGTTACAATTTCCTGTTAATCTAGGTAAAATAATAATAGTATAACTCATTTATTATTCTCTTGATTAAATACTCGGAACATTCATTGCTGTTCTAATGTACAAGTTATTTCACTACATAAATTCGAAAAAAGTTGCAAACAATATTTTAACATTACCTTTATGCAGAGCTGTCAGTCTTCTGTCAGTGCTGTTAATGTTAGCTCCCTTTTCTAAAAGAAGTCTAGCTAACTCATAATCCGGCAAATGGATCGCCACATGAAGCAGAATATTGCTTAAGACGGCGTCAGTCTTTAACATCTCAGAAACAAGACTGGATATTCCTGAAACTAAAAATTGCCTAAAGTGTAAACGTCTAGAAAGTACGTAAATATAAATTCATGCAAGATTTACTAGAAACATATTCTTATCAAAATACAATTACAATATATAAAAATTACTGAAACACCTATATGGATCTTCTAGACTAAATTTACGATTGTTGTTATTTATTAGAAAATATAAAAGTTAATAAGGAACATTAACTAAAAACATGTAAAGCTGTTTGCATAAATAAAATATTCAACGTGCAATTACATCAAAAGTTGGGAAAAAGTTCTTTTTTCTTACAAATGGAAAATGCAACCATCTTTATAGGCAGAGTTCTTAATTTATCATCCATACACAAAATTGACTGATGGAAGATTTTTATAAAACTCTAAATTTCAGCGGTTTCTTAGGTTGAGAAATAATGCTTGAATATATCACGTAAAAAAATTAATTTTCTTTGAATTCCCTACTAAAAATGCCCCATAGAAACCAGTAAAACTTTTTATGGGTACCCATAAGATTTTATGGGTTTTTATTGACTTTTACTGGTTTCTGTTGGTCTCTGTGGGTTTTTTTTACTGGTTTCAAAATGACCCATAGAAACCAGTAAAACTTTCTACTGGTACCTATAGAATTTTTGATGGTCTCTATTGACTTTTACTGGTTTCTATTGATCTCTGTGGGTTTTTCTTACTGGTATCAATTGACACCCATACAACCAACATTCAATGGCAGAACTTTGTACTGGTTTGTATAGGTTTATATTGACTTTTGCTGGTTTCTTACTGGTATCAATATAATAATAAATCTTCTGTTGGTTTACATGGGTTTGTGCTATTTTTTTATCTGACGTTAATATACTTCTTGTAAACAATAAAATTAACAGAATGAAAATATGATCTCTTTAAGACCACCAGAGTAACCTGTAAACGCAGGTGGTCGTTTTAGAGAGGGTTTTTACTAAATATGCTATTTTTTTTATTTAATTTTTTTTTCGGAAACAATAACAGTAATCATATACACCACACACAACGAGGTCTCTCCAAGGCGACCAGCCGCAAATAAAAATTCATCTTTGCAAGTGGTCGCCTTAGAGAGGTGATGCTCAATACCAATAGATACTCACGTTCTCAGAGATGCGTTTATCTTTTAGAGGTGGTCGTCTTAGGGAGATTGCATCTACGGAATGAATCTCTCTAAGGCGACCGGACACACTTGCAGAATTTTCTTTGTGAATGGTCGCCTTACAGAGGGAATATTCAATACCAAAGTATACTTATGTTTTCAGAAATACTGGTCTCTTTCAGAGGCGGTCGTGTTAGGGAGGTGGTTTTTGCTACGAGTTAGTTCTCTGAATACACACACATAAGCACTCACATTTCAGATATTACAAATAAACACCGGTATCAACCAACATCTCTTTAACGCGAACAAGTTCATTCACAATCGCAAAACTTTTCTCCCTGTTAACGCTGACGTGGGGAAAAAAATTCCCCTCCCTCCCCCACTCTCAGAAGTTTCCCAAACAAGCAATATGGCGCCGTTCTAGTTATTGTTGTGTGATGGTGGTGTTATTTTCTTCGTGGTTGTAGTAATGCAATATATTATTTACTAGGATTTACTGTATTACAAATTTTACTATGTTTTACTGTTTAGAAATTAGTAATAAACAATAAAATACCACCACTGATCCATGAATATACCACTAAAGCATGTGTAATCATGTCTAATGTTTGAGAGAGCGTTGCTGATAACTGACTAGTTGTGAAATGGAGTTTCTGAGCGTGAAATTGATTTTCCATCTTTACTTATATCCTGAAAAACAATGTGCTTAAAGACTGAAAAGTGATAATTTCAGGCTTGATAATTTGTTCCAGTGTGCAGATGCAGAAATGTAGTTTTTGCATTCTACTGAAACTGTATTTTCAAAATTTATTTTTTTGATTACAGTTTAGAAATCCTTTTTAAAGCTTGTTCATGTAGATGCTTTATCATTTGAATATTACGTACTAATAAATTTGAGCATACCTTACTTAAAAATGACTAGTTGTGAAATGGAGTTTCTGAGCGTGAAATTGATTTTCCATCTTTACTTTTATCCTGAAAAACAATGTGCTTAAAGACTGAAAAGTGATAATTTCAGGCTTGATAATTTGTTTCAGTGTGCAGATGCAGAAATGTAGTTTTTGCATTCTACTGAAACTGTATTTTGAAATTTTATTTTTTTGATTACAGTTTAGAAATACTTTTTAAAGCTTGTTCATGTAGATGTTCATGTTTATCATGTTCATGTTCATGTTCATGTTTATCATTTGAATATTATGTACTAATAAATTTGAGCATACCTTACTTAAAAATGATCTTGCATGATTCAATTTTGAACTTTTCGACTAATGTGATGTGACTGACCAAAAAGAATGTTTTTTTATGTTTTAAAAAAATGTACTAATTATATTTCGCGAGCAAAAAAGGTAAGTTTTATTAACGAAATAAACATTGAAGTATTTAATGTGTTTATTACTTATTGAATGGGGTAGACAAGACATACAAGCTTAAGGAATCTTTTTTCCACTACTAAAATTATGTGAAAATTTAGATGATCATAGTAGCTTACATTGTTTTTTCTTTTTGGTCTATTTTTCTTTACAAGTATGAGACTAGAACCACATTTTTACATTAAACATTTTGTGCTATTTTGTTAAAACACATATAATCATTTTTATGCATACTTTAATTTTCATTATTATTAGTTTGATGAAGAAAATTTCAAATGTGTTTTTCATAAATTGCTTTTGAAATAGAAATAGATTTGTGAATAAGATTTATGTAATATTAAATGTACTAGTCTTGGGAGTATAAAAAGTGAATTATTTATTTGAAAAAAATTACATTTAGTTGAAACCTCATATAGTGGTTATTTTCTTAAATGACCACCTCTGATAATGGCACATTTGTCAGGACAATAATTAAATAACAGGACTTAAAAATCATTCATAGTTTTGTCAGGCTACAGGAAACTCGCATTATCTCGAATTGTGGAGTTGATCGTTTTAGGAACGTTTTGCTGTATAATCAATTGACTTTGGTGTAGTAATTTTACGTGGGTATGAATTTTGCAAAAGTAATTGAACGTTTTTACGAGATATTTAAAACCAAAGCTTTTCGGATCATGAGTCTTATAAGGGCGCTGTTATAGCATTGCTTTCAAATATAGTTAGAGTAATGTTTAAACATTTATTCGGAAGCACTTCCACAGGGAATCCGGTTGTTCTCTGCGTATGAAAAACCCATATAAATAAATCTTCTGTACAGCCTTATACAAATGCAGTTAAAATTACTTTCATTACAATTGAGCGAATATAGCTACATTTGTTTACAAAAAGTTATTGCTAAATACTGCACTATATCAATTTCATTTTGCATTGTAATTTCAGAAAATGCTCAGCATGAGGTATTTTTATATTATATAATCTACTGTCAAAAACAATAGCTACATTTTCGGTACTTTAAATTTTACTATTGAGAATTTTTATGGTTCAAAATAATATTTCTATACATTATTTCAAGTATTCTTTCTACAATAGAAATCTAAATAACTTGCACCTAAAACACTGACTCAAATTTATTCCAATAATGCATTGCTTTAATTAAATTTATGTTCCTTTGAGATGATATATGAAAAACCTTGTGTAATAATAAATTATGAATATATATAGGTAAATGGTATTTTTATATGTTTTTTCGGGTAAAGTGCAGAATCGCCCACTTATTTATTTGGCACTTTGTACAAAAGTAAAAGGAATTGGATTTTTCTCAATTTTCTTTTGACTTTTTAAGTGAAAATAGGTCGATGTGTACATGAATAAAGTCAAAAGAGTACACAATGGCATTTTTGTGCAATTCTGGGATGTTTTTTTAAGTGAAAATATGTCGATGTGTACATGGATACCAAGTATGTGCAATTCTTAAAAACAGGCCAGGCATGGGCGATTCTACACTTTCCCCATTTTTCTATAGGAATTTAGTTTCATTAAATTAGTTATTTAGTATAATTATGTGTATATGAGTATATTCACACCCATTCGCATAGATGGAATTTTTACAGTACGAAAGTTGATCTTTTTTTTACATCAAGAACTATATATACTATAAATAAATACCCATTATGTTATAGATTTTATTTATATAAAATCTGTGGAAGATTATATAGCACTAAAAGTGAGATACGGAATAAAACATTATACGCTATGAGATATTTTCTTAATTCCCGAACTGTGCGTTAAGAATTGGTATTTGTTGAAAACTTGTAAATTTTTTAAAATTCATTTTGTTACAATATAATTATTGTATTTTGGGTACTATTAAGTTTATTATATGTTATCTTCATGTTTCATTTATTTTTTTGAGAGATACAGGTAACATTCAAAGTATTGTAATAAGGGGGGTCGACACAGTGTTTGTATATTATTATAGTTCTTCACTACATTATATTCTAGGATTCATCCTTTCTTCCATGCAAAACATCTATGTGTATGCATGTCATAATAAGCTGCAGGGTGTTACTGATCATTGGTAAGCGAGCTTTAAGGGGATAGCAAGTTTGCTAAATTTGAACTCTATGTTAAGTTTCTAATTTGCAAGTCCCGTATTCTTTTTGCTTGCTTGGTTAATAATGTTTCTCTTCCTGAAAATTTGGGTTTCTTCTAGTTTTGTTTTTTTAATTTGGTTTAGTGCATTGTAGGTAACTTAAAATTTAAGCAGATGCGAGAAAGTACCATCCTTTGGCAATACATTTCTCATTAGGTATCAAATTGTTAAACAAGCTGATGTGATTAAATACAATTGTTTAATTTCCCAATTAAAGAACTGAAATACAAATATATGCAGTGAGGTACAGTACTATATGTATATATTTATAATGAAATGAATAATATATATACAGTCAAAGTAATGATTCGCAACCATCAAATGAAATGATATTATATATATATATGTAATGGATTCTGTAGTCGAATACAAG